TGTAAGTATGTATGTTGTAAGTTATTACTGAAGAGTCAAAAAGTTTTTAAAAATTTGAGAAAGTTTATAAAGAATAAAACTTGCAGTAATCTAAGGTTAATTTATTATTGATGAAATTTGTTTTACAAATTTAGTGTGGCCTAAATGCACAGTATTTATAAAGTCTACAGTAGCATACAGTAATGTCTTAGGCCTTCCCATTCACTCAGTATTCACTCACTGACTCACCCAGAGCAACTTCCAGTCCTGCAAGCCCCATTCACCTAGACAGGTGTACCATTTTTTATCTTTTATACCATATTTTTGCTGTATCTTTTCTATGTTTAGATATGTTTACACACAAAAATACTTAACATTGTGTTATAACCGCCTACAGTATTCAATACAGCAACATGCTGTATAGGTTTGTAGCCTAGGATCAATAGGCTATACCATATAGCCTAGGTGTGTAATAGGCTATACCATCTAGGTTTGTGGGAGTACATTCTATGATGCTTGCATCCTAAAGACCTTTCTCAGAATGTATCCCCGTCATTAAGCAACATGACTATAATAACAATACAGATCTCTTCCACCTTCTACATCAATCAACCATTACTGAAATCAGATACTCTACATGAGATGCTAATGAAGAACCTATTTTCCAATTTTTAAAAGAAAAAAATTATAATTCATTACACATTAATCCAAAACAACTAACCAAATTCCTTGAGTGTAACTAAAATACCGTAAAGCACCTATACGAATGTAACAAATACCCATGTTAGGATATAAAATGCTTAAAACATCACTTTCTGAGCAAAACCAATTTCCACTGTTAACAGCAGCAATAAGCAGTAACATACTACACATCCTCCTTGTTGACATTTGGTGTACCTTTCAAATTGTCTACACATGATTCTGACATTCTATCAATTACATTTGGAATTTTTTTTTAGAGGTGGAGTCTTCCTCTGTCACCCAGGCTGGAGTACAGTGACATGATCATAGCTCACTGTAGCCTCGAACTCCTGGGCTCAAGCAATCCTCCTGCCAAGTAGCTGGGACTACAGGCATGTGCCACCACTCTTGGCTAATTTTATTTTTTTCAGAGACAGGGCTGGTCTTGAACTCCTGTCCTCAAGTAATGCCCCCTGCCTTAGCCTCCCAAAGTGCTGGGATTACAGGTGTGAGCCACCACGCCCAGCTATCTTTGGAATTTAACACTGACTTCACAGAAATTTTGTTAAACATGTGGTATTTGGCTTTATTGAGTTTCTGGGACATAAATACAAATATTAGAAAAACATTAACTGTGAAGTCATTCTGTGAACTCTGCTTGCATATTACATTTGTTCCAATGGACTGAATGGCTGCTTTAGAGTCAACTTAGGCAAGTTAACGATACCCTCTAAACATCAGAATTCTCATATTCAAAATGGGAAAATAATAGTGTTATCACGGCAGTTTTTGTGAAGATTAAATGAGATAGTGCACCTAAAGCAGTTAGCACCATGCTTAGCATATAGTACATGCTCAATAAATGGTTCCTGTTATTATTTTTATTATCTATCTAGCAATTGCAGCTTACAAAGATTTATACATGTACTATCTTGCTTGATCCTTAAAACAAAACAACTCTGCAGGAGACAGACAGGACATGGATTATTATCTTTGCTTCGCAAATAAAAAGATAAACACTTAAAAGAAGTTAATGTGACTTGCCTAAAGTTCCATGGTTACCTAGCTATACCCACCATGACTGGCTATAAATCACCATATAAATGAGGGGTTGGCAAACTTTTTCTTAAAAAGCCAAATAGTAAATATTTCAGGCTTGTAAGCCATATAGTCTCTATCATAATTAGTCAACACTGCCACTGGAGTACAAAAGCAGCCATAGACAGTGCATTAACAAATAGGTGGAGCTGTGTTCCAATAAAACTTTATTTACAAAAACAGGCAGTGGGTTGGATTTGGCTCATGGGCCATAGTTTGCAAACCCCTGCCCTAGACCTTTAGATTACTAGCCTAGTGTACTTTCCCACTACAATATGGTTACTACCTATATTCAGGGTAGTCTTTTAGCATTACATTTAATATTAATAGCATTAATTGGTAGGGAAAAGATAAATTGGAAATAATTTGTAAAAGAACTATGAAAACAATAAGATATTACATAAATATTAGTATAATTGCTTTGTCTTCTTTTCCATCTTCTAAAACTCTCTCTTAATCCTTTCCTTATTTCTTTCTCCTCTAATAAGGCAGTTGGCCTAGAAGTAAAGATTTTTCTATCTTTCTAAAAGTATTCAAGGCAAATATGTTTGCAGAATCTTATACTAACTAAAGTAATGGGCATTCCATGAAATACCAGAATGAACAAACTTACCAATACCTCTTTAAAAATTGCAGAATGTGAAAACTTCTGAATATAACATGTATGGGCATGTTTCTGGGGAGTGGGGGAAGCTATGGTAAGCAACCAGTGTATTCTCAATCTCAAACAACAGAGCGATTATCAGTTTTCTCATTATAAAAGCCACGTGTTATGATGGTAAGGACACTGGACTTGGAATTGGAAGACCTAACTTGGAATTTCTTCTCTGCCACTTACTATCTTTGTAACCTAGTAACTACATATGAGAAGTTGTTGTGAGAATTAAGACAAATAATATTTTAAAATACCAAGCATTATAAACATTGATTATTGATGCATTTGAAATTATAAACTTCTTAATCAAGTTCACTTCTATATTTTTAATAGAAGTATAACATGATACAATATTATATAATAGTACAATATAATTAATAAAGCATCTAAAATATCTATTGCTAAAGTATAAAGCACTTTTTCTGCCATGGAGCTAAAAGTTCTTAAAAAAAGTTCCCTCATTTAAGCCAACAATATTTCTTTGAAATTAAAACAAACTAGAATTTATTGGGTGATATGTGCTAGGCATTTTACATACTTCACTCATCCAATCTTTATAACAACCTTGAGAAGAAACTGAAGCTCAGGGAAATGAAATCACTTGCCCAAGGCATACAGTTCCTAAGTGGCAGCCGGGCTTAGATTCATACCCAGGTTACATGGATTCTAAAGCCTGTGTTCTTTTCATTACGTAACACTGTCGCTTCAGTTTTGTTTTTTAAACTTGACATCCTCAAAAAGCTAAGTGCCTCATACAAGGTCAAAGAATAATTACTGTGAGTGTAATAGAAGACAAATCCTCAGATAATAGGACATCTTTAACCCACTAGATTAAGTCACCTCCAAATAACATACTATTTTAAAGGTAATTTTCAGATAATTACTGTTTAATCTAGTTTTGGTCTCAAAAATGTACTGGTAAATAGAGTAAAACCAGTCTACCTGCCACTAGTTAACGAAATTGGGATATTACCAAGTTTAAGCATTAGATGCCCAAAGAAACAAATCTAGAATTTTGGTAAGAGAAAAAATTAACCAAAAAACAAGTTTCCTCAAATTCCAATGTTATGTTAATAAACATAGCAAGAACATTTCCACTTTCAGAAATGTCTGAAAGTTAGGTCTTCCAGAAAGCAGATTCTTTTCTCAATAATTTTTTTCCATGAAATTTATAGAAGCCATTGTAGAGCAAAATTGGTGATCCAGGTGCTTTTTAAGAACTAAATCAGTAAATTAGAAGCTTTTTAATCATGACATTAAATATAACATATAAATGAGGGAATAAGAGAATACAAAATATTTCATAAATCTATGGCCCTCCTCTTCCCCCTCTTTTTATGCCAGTCTGGTCCTTAAGAGCAAGAGCCTTTTTTTCCTTGCTTAAATAAAATAAACTTCACCTCCACCGTCTGTTGCTTACCTGTTGCACAGTGTGCTCAGGGCTCCATGTGGACTACAGTCACACGGAAGACAGAGACCAGAAGTGTGATTCAGGTAAAAGCCCTCCTTGCAGGTTTCACAGAGAAGCCCCTGATAACCTGGCTGACACTCACACTGCCCTGTGGTCTGGTTGCAGCGATTCACATCCAGGCTTCCAACTACAGAGCAGTTACATACATACTCTGAAAAGAAAAAAAGGAAAAAAGACATTACCAACTAAGATTTAACACCTTCTTAATAAAATGAACTCTATTTTCCTTTTCTTTTTTTATTCTTTTTTTTTTTTTGTCTTTTTTTTTTTTGAGACAGAGTCTTGCTCTGTCGCCTCAGCTAGAGTACAGTAGTGTCATTATAGCTCACTGTAACCTCAAACTCCTGGGCTCAAGTGATCCTCCTCCCTCAGCCTCCCAAGTACCTGGGACTACAGGTGCCCACCACTGCACCCAGCTAATTTTTCTATTATTTGTAGAGAGACAGGGTCTCACTCTTCCTCAAGCTGGTCTTGAACTCCTCCTCAAGCAATCATCCAGTCTCAGCCTGCCAGAGGGCTAGGATTACAGATGTGAGCCACCACACTTGGCCTTTTTCTTAATAAATTACCAAGAACACTTTGTAAGGATAGATAAAATTAACCTCATGCTTAGAAATTAAGTCTTGAAGAAGGGAAAAAAATTTTAAAAAATTAACTCTAGTTCAAGTCTACTTTCTCTCCTGTTTATTTAAATTGGGAAATATATAGAGTAAATAAAAGTATATACAGTTCATAATTATAAAGCTAACATTCTTAATTTCCTTTACAGTACTCTTCATCTCCTGTCCCTCTTACCCAACACCCCAATTTGTGTATGTGTGTCTGCATATTATTAGTTTTTCTGGATTGAAAGCCACCAAAGGTAGGCTTATCTACATGGCACTGAGAGCGCATGCTGGAAATGACATATTAAATAATAAATAATCCCATTGTATAGCAGCAAAAGCCTAAGGCTCAGATGATTAACTCTGGTAACCTATATAAGGTCATAAAAGATTGTGCTACAGCTCGAATCATAAGCTAATATGTTCTACTCAAGAAGAAATTAATGGAGAATTGAAAGTTTAAGGTGAGGAAACAATGAAAATAAACCTAGAGGAAAAATTTACAGGTTTATCCTCATCAGTGAGTTAAAATGAATCATAATTTGAGTGTCTTTCCCAAATTAAAAAATTCAGAAAATAAACCTTTCCTTTAGGTACATTTCAAACAGTTCTTTGGATAAAAATATTTAGAAGCCCTTAGTTTTAGCCTTGTAATGCAAAGACTCATTTAAAGGTCAGTTAGGATTTGGTTTTGGCTATTTCTACTCATTTTGTCAAAAGGAGTGTTTTCAACACAGTGTGACACAGTATCAACATAGGACTTTGTAAGCATGTGCAAAAACATCTAGTTAAAATCAACTGCAGATAATATTCTAGGAATAGGCCTTATTCCAAAATAGCTATGAACCTAGTCTTAGTGAGTCCAGAAAAATCTATAGTACAAATTATACTTCTGAATAGGCAAGGCACTATATATAAAATGGCATTATACTGATATAGTTTAGCTTGGAAAAAAATAACCTTTAATGTTATTTTTGGTTATTTCAAAAAAGCTACTGGCTAACTGCAAATCCAGAGTCTTACACAGAAAGTTATAAAGGGATTTGCTTCTCTAGTCTAGAAAAGGAAATTAAGTTTCAAAATTCTTTATATATCCACAAACAGCTTATCCACACAAGTCAAAACAAAGGATTCCTCAAAGAAATTCCCACTTGGCAACTCTATACCTACCACACTTCTGCAGTTCCTAACCTTTGGTGTCAGTTTATTTCCTGCTCTAGATACCTCTTCTAATTTGTAAATATAACAAATAAATGAATATATATTGGTAGATGATTTTTTTTTTATGTATATTTCAAGGTTGGGTGGTGAATTAGTTAACAAAACCAAAGGGGAGTTCAGATTTCTTCAGCCACAAGCTTGGGAAAGAAATCAGCTTCCCATCACAATCAAGATTCTTATTTTTGCTAGGCTACGTAAGCATGACATTTCTTTGAAAAAGTTACATGTTTTCCATATGATATCTACTTTCTGAGTATGTGCATTGTGGTTTTATATTAATAAATACTAAATCTTATGTTCAGTTTCTGTAAACATGCCAATGACAACTTCATGGCAAGACCTTCACTCCACCAGAAATGATCGGAACTATTTTTTTCCTGTTTTTTGAGACAGAGTCTCGCTCCATCGCCCCGGGTAGAGTGCAATGGTGTCATCACAGCTCACTGCAACCTCCAACTTCTGGGCTCAAGCAATCCTTCTGCCTCAGCCTTCAGAGTGGCCGGGACTACAGGTGCATGCCACGATGCCTAGCTAGTTTTTTTTTCTATTTTTTGTAGAGATAGGGTCTCACTCTTGCTCAGGCTAGTCTCGAATTCCTGAGCTCAAGCAATCCTCCTGCCTCGGCCTCCCAGAGTGGTAGGATTATAGGCCTGAGCCACCATGCATGGCCCAGAACTCTTAAAGTAACATTTTTCTTCTGAAATCTGGCAGAAATTCAACATACATCCAACTCTTCCTGCTGGACCAATTTGATCACAAATTAAACTGACCAAATTATCCTGGTGTGGGCCGAACTAGCTTAAGAAAAATGAAAAGACTAAAAAACTCTGTAGTAAAGACTATGAATTTTATTCTATTATTTTACTACTAATGTATTTCCATCTGAAAACTGAATCAGTATTCCCAATGAATAAGATTAGCAGTATTTTTTTAAGAATCCAATTAATCTTAATCTAAAAACTATGAGACTTACTATTTTTTCAGTAAAGTTCTAATGAATAAACCTTCAGTACTAACCAAGTTCATTTGCTATGCATTATTTCTATAGAATCAGTTAATCCAATCTTCTCATTTTTCCCTGAACATACTCTGGTTAGCAGTATCTCTGAACCTTTGCTCATCCTGTGCATCTGGAATGCTCTCTTTGCCACATATTCAAACCTATCCCCTAGTTCAAAATCTGTTGAAACTCACTCCTCCATAAACTCTAACTGTATTTCCCCTACTAGGAATTCATAACAACACCTACTCCCCACACCTCTCATATGACAATAGTTTGAAGAGGCAGTAAAACAAAGCAGTTATGAGCACAAACTGTAGAGGTAGACAGCTAAGGTTCATATCCTGCTCTCTCGCTTACTAACTTTATAACTTTAGACAAGTTAGTTAACCTCCTTGTGCCTTCATTTTTTCCATCTGTAAACAGGACATAATAATAGAACCTATTACACTCAGCTCTAACGCCTAAGCTGGGAGTGGTTCGGAGTACTACATTAATTAATACAATTGCTGGAAAAAAGCAGAAAGTGATTTCAGATAAAAGAGCATAAATATAAAATTCAGATGTTAGATTGATAGGCCACAGCTTTGTTAACATCCAGTGGACAAGATCTGAAAGCCCAAGAATGGGTTTATTACCATGACAGCTTCAGACAATGTCTGGGAAACAGAATGAGTGTCCTGTTATGCAGAAATACAAGTTGTAGATCAAGGTAGAGAATAAGAGGGTATTCTACTTGTACTGGGCTCCATATAGTACCAATGTGTGTGCCTACAAATACAGTGGTGAAAACAGAAGGATTTAGGATGTGGATTCAGAGATGAGGAAAAATGAGCATTTATTGATTATCCAGCAACAGGGTGAATGGCAAATATTTCAGCCAGAGAGAACACCCTAGTGCCAGGAAGGGGGCTGACATAACAAGACAAAAAGGGACTATCATGTTAATACTTCTCCCCAAAATAACCAAAGGAAAGGAACAGAGTACAAAGCACACCAAGTGCCAGGAAGCATGTGCATCTTTTCTGTTTGTAGTTCAAAATCCAAGGCCCTGTCCCAGTGATTTGATCTCAAGTGAAATGACCCAAGTTAAATGAATAGTGTGACAACTATAATAAATGTAAAACACTGTGAGCATTCATTAAATTATGTCAGGATAATTTGTTAGTTTGTAAGTAGAGTAAAATCTCAGCCCCTTCACAGTTCTAGACACTCATGTGGAACCAGATAGGAGTTAATGGAGAAATAATGCAATCCCCTCAGTAGGCGGCTAGCAATATGAAAAAGAAGAAAGGAAATTTCAATTGATAGAAGGAATCAAAGGACGTATAGCCGAAGACAAGAGAGAAAGTGCTGGCTTTTTAATGAGGTAGATCTTAGACCAGCACAAAGGAGTCTGCAACATGATTAATGGTAAGTCACCAGTGTGGATGTTAATGAGAATGAAACAATATGAAGAGGACACCAAAAGCTAATCACAGACCCGTGTGAATGAGATGCCAGAAAGCTCATTTAGTTGCCTAGGAGTAAAATATGGAATAAACTCTTTATCATGGGAGTAGCAGGTTTCCTCTCAATGCGAGATAATTCTCGGGAAAACTGTAAAGAAATAAAGGAGAGTAATGTCAATGCTCACAGAGACACCATCATCTTTGGCGATGCTTTTTTTTTTATTGTTGTCTGGTTTCTGAAGAGCAATAAAAAATAGTGATTAGAATCCTGAAGAAGAAACTAAAATCTGGTGCTAAACTTCTTTAAGCATTTGAAAATAGAAACATAAAGTCCCAAAGAAGAGGTAATAAATCGGTATTTTCCCCTGAGAACTTGAATTTATGGGATAATTTTGATATAAAAGTATCCAAAGCAATCGTTGTATCTAAATCAAATGCTGTACTTTTGCAAACATTCCAAGGGCCAAGAGATGAGATGAAATTTTTTTAGCACAAAAAACAAAACAAACAAACAAAAAAAACCCCAGTAATTTTGCTTACAAGTCCCACGAGTCTCCTCGTTGGGCACAAACACTTGCTCTAGTAAGAGATTATCCACTTGAACTTACTAATGACCTTTGCTGGGCCTTTCATACTCTTGGTAGGCTCCCTCTCCATCTAACTTTTAACCATCTTGTACCGTTGCTCAGTAAAAAGCCCGTCTTCTAGGACTTTTTAGTGTGTTCCGGTACTCAGCTTCCTCATATTAATGATGAGAGTTTAAAAACAAAATACCAATTGTGATTGTATGTCCTAATGAATGTGCACTCTCTTTCTGTGCCTCTTTTTGTGAAGTCCTGAGTGCTGAAATTAACTGTGAGGTTCAAGCAGTTTA